AGAAGTGGCGCTGTGGCTCAAGTGGTAGAGCGCTAGCCTTCAGCTGAAGAGCTGAGGGACAGCGCCCAGGCCCAGAGTTCAGGCCCCGCGACCGGATCCAAAAAAAAAAAAAAAAAAATAAAAAGTTGTATCTTGTATCAAAATTAACCCCAGGAAATGGAAACGAGGTTTTTTTTTCATTGTTTTTGTTTTCTTTTTGTCTTTTGTGTTTTGTTTATCTGTATTTAGGAGGGTAAGAGGTGGCACAGAAATGGAGGGACAAAGGGTGAACAAATACAGAAGTGGACCCACTAGACACTTGGTTGAAAATGAACTATACAAGCCGGGCGTTGATGGCTCACACTTGTAATACTAGCTACTCAGGAGGCTGAGATTTGAGGATTATGGTTCAAAGCCAGCCCTGGTGGCAAAGTCTCTGACACTCTTATCTTCAATAAACCACCAGAAAATTGGAAGTAGTGCTGTGGCTCCAGTGGTAGAGTGCTAGCCTTGAGCTGAAGAGCTGAGGAATAGCGTCCAGGCCCAGAGTTCAAGCCCCTTGACTGACAAAAAAGAAAAGAAAATGAATTATATAACTCATGGATGGGGACAGGAGGGAAAAACTGGGAGAGAGTGAGGGAAGGAGTGACATTGTCAAAAAGAAATGTACTCATTACCTGACTTATAAAGCTGTAACCCCTCTGTATATCACCTTTACAACAACAATACAAAATTACAGAAATAACTGGAAAAATAAGTCATTTCAATCACGTTTAAAAAATATTTCTGACAGAAATATGTATGTTTAAATACATAATATATTATAGACGTTCATGTGTAATATATCTAAATATGCATGTAATTTTTGCTCATACTATTAAAGATACTGCTTGTTTAAAAAAAAAAAAGCTGGGTGCCAGTGGCTCACACCTGTAATCCTAGCTACTTAGGAGGCTGAGATCTGAGGATCACTGTTTAAAACCAGCTTGGGCAGGAAAGTCTGTGAGACTCTTATCTCCAATAAACCTCTCAAAACTGGAAGTGGCGTAGTGGCTCAAGTGGTAGGGCGCTTGCCTTGAGCTGAAGACCTGAGAGACAGTGTTCAGGCCCAGAGTTCAAACCCCGTGACTGACAAACAAAAAAGCTGGACTTTGGTGTTTAACAGCCAGCAGCTTATGTGAGTTTACCCATTCATTATTAGTATCACAAGTGTGATGCTACCTGGTTATTTACCAGGTAACCAGGTGATTTACCTGGTTATTTCCAGGTAAATATATGTACTTACTTTTTGTCTAATTAAACCTTAATTGAACTCTCCTTTTATGCATTTATGTCAGAGAGGTGATTACTATCCTTACATGCATAGGGAGAGTCTTTGATAGAAATGGACAGTTTAGTAGTAGCTTAACCCATATGTACTGTGTTAGAATTTGTGTTAGTAGTTTAGGCACTAGCTCTGTGTGCAAAGGACGTAATGCCATTTGTCCCATTCTACTTTGACTTCAAGGAGCATTAAGCCCACCAATTAGGCAACTACCATTAAATTAATGATACTTTCTATGCAGATTTAAGTATTATCTTAGTCTTTTAGCTAAGGAATTTTTCTGGAAGCTATTCAGTTCCTTAAAAACAAAACAGGTATGAACATTACACATATAAAATATAAAAATAAATATAAAATAGAATATATAAATATATAAACATAAATACATAAATATGTATATATAAAATATATACATAAATATATAATATAATATATATAATATAAAATATAAAATAAAGATATAAAATGGATATAAACATTACACATTTAAAGGTTTTATAGGGTAGTGGATGATGGATGATCTTTAATGTTTATTTTATTTTATTTTTTAATTTAATTTAATTTTATTTGTGAACATACTGTACAGAGGGGTTACAATTGCATGGGCAGGATAATGCGTACATTTCTTACCAAGCATTGCATCCTCCTCCTTTGTTTTATTTGTTTTATTTTATTATTTTTTGCCAGTCATGGGGTCTGAACTCTGGGCCTGGTCACTGTCCCTCAGCTTTTCAGCTCAAGGCTAGCAGGCTAGCACAGCACCACTTCTGGCTTTTTTTCTGCTTTTGTGGTGCTAAGGAATTGAACCCAGGGCCTCATGCATGCAAGGCAAGCACTCTACCACTGAGCCACCTTCCCAGCCCTTAATGTTTATTTTATTTTATTTTTTGTCGGTTGTGGGGCTTGAACTCTGGGCCTGGGCGCTGTCCCTCAGCTCTTCAGCTCAAGGCCAGCGCTCTACCACTTGAGCTACAGCGCCACTTCCGGTTTTCTGGTGGTTTATTGGAGATAGGAGTCTCACGGTCTCTCCTGCCCGGGCTAGCTTTGAACTGAGATCCTCAGATCTCAGCCTCCTGAGTAGCTAGGATTACAGGCGTGAGCCACCAGCGCCAGCTCCTAATGTTTATTTTAAAATAAAGATTTTGACATTAAAATTCTTTCACTTTAAGTTCTTGACTTTTTAA